GAGCTGTCCAGAAGGGCTCTGCCGCTCGCCGGGGCAGCCAACCTACCCTCCCGTACCGGGGGCGGGGTAGTGCCCGATGGGCGTCGCGAGCAGCCACTCCGCGGCCGCGGCTTCCCTCGGGGGCGGGCCTCCTGCGCTCAACTGCCAATGGCTGGTGAGGGGGCGCGGCCGCGCGTTTCATGTTTGGCTGACGGCTCTGTGCTTTTTTTTATTCCTCCTTTGCCACAGGAATCAAACGTCAAGGAGAGGGAGGGAGGGGAAGAGTGGGTAGTGGGGAGAGAGGGGATAGTACGAGCGAGGGAGAGAAATTACGTTAAAGATGCTGCTCTGTCTCTCCGGAGCTGCTGCGATCTGGGGAAAAGGGCATTTGCTTTAGTTCCCTTCGCTTCACCCCAAAGCTTTTCTGGAGGCTAGTAAGCCAGGAGAAAAAGACTCCAGCTACGTGCTGGTATAAAAACAAACACAAATCTTCTAACAAGCCACTGCCCAAGGGTCCGTAGCTGGGAGCCAGTAGTTTAGCCTTTTAAAATACAGGCGCTAATGTATTCTAATGCAGGGTAAATTCCCAAGACTGGGGAGTGCATAATCCCACAGAGCGAAGCGAACTCCAGCGCCCTCGCCGCCAGCGAGCTGCGGCCGGCAGACGCAAGCCCACCCGCCGTGCGGGCCGCGGTAATGCATGCAAAGTTAACACAATAACATCATTTAATTACCTAGCAAGCCCATAAATCTCTCAGTTATGAGCCTTCAGAAGGGCCCTGCTAGATTGCAAAACAAAATTAGAACTCCAAGAGCTGCGGTTTCAAGGTGACCAAGTGCTTGCCGGGCGAGCGAGTTGGAAAGAAGAGGTGGGGTTGGAGGGGGGGGGCAGTGCACATCATGGTTGTTGCAGATGCCAGTAGTGAACAAACTTCTCCTGGGGGCAGGGAGTATGTAAACCGTCCAGGTCGTTACCCGCGCGGATCTCTCTCTCTCTCTCTCTCTCTCTCTCTCTCTCCTCTCTCTCTCTCTCTCTCTCTCTCTCTCTCTCTCTCTCCCTCCCTCCCCCCTCCCTCCCTCTCTATCTCTTTCCCTTTCCCCCCTCGCCTACCCCCTTTCTAGAATCGCCGGAGAGGAATGCCCCGGGTTAGACTGTGAGTAGATGACACGGAGCCGATATCTATATGCCCAAATCTTGTTTCCGAGAAGACCAGACCTCTGGCGAGTTTCAGAAACCTCAGCTTGCTTGAAAAGTGCACCTTCATCTACCTACGATTTGCGTTGTTTAGTAAACCGGGTCTGCGACTGGGAGTGGAACTGGGGAAGAGAGAAGGTGGGGATTTCTGCGGCCCGGGTAGGAGTGGAGAGGTCGTTGAAGAGAGCCACTCGTCATTGAAAGCCTTACAAGTAACAGATTCTTCCAAAGCAGGTTGCGCTCTGTTTGCCTCCGAAGATTCAAGCTAGCTGAGGTTGCGCAGATGTTGCCTTTGTTTAAAGAGACAGTAATTAAGGACAGGGTGGACATAAGTTTGAGAAGCGTGACCTATTTTCTTTTGATCAGCTGTCAAAAGAAGAGCAGGGGGTCTCCTTAAGACAGCCCCCTCCAACCACTTACAGCTGTTAGAGAAAACTTGATAAGAAAACAAGGACACAGTCTGGAATATGCCTTCCTGGCGCTAGAGAAAGATTTAATTTATTTGGAAAACAGTTCTTAGTCTCGGTGACCTTTTACGGCTGCCCTCCTCTCTTTTCTAGCTACAGAGCAAAAAAATCCACCCCTACTACCGCATCATCCTGCCACATGAATGTACGGTGACACTATTTATAGATCAACTTTATTGAGCTCAGGCCAATACCTTGCCAATTATTCTTTCAAATAGCTTCTTCTCTGTGATATCAAAGCCTGGATAAGAAAGTGGACGATCCCCTGCTTTGCTAGACATACTTTTCTAGCTTCTCATGTCTTTAATGTCACAATACTAGACAGGTAAAATCACTCAGTTTTCTGTTTCTCTAACATTCCTCTCTCCCTCACCCTCTCCTACTGTCTCTCTACCACTCCGCACCTTAAATATGGCGGCTGGACATTTGAGATAACTTGAAACAGTTAGTGTATGAAATACACGCCAAGTTGAACAAAAGTTCACAAGAGTGCAACCTCCTGTTGGTCCAGGAGTGCTCAGAAACTGAAATAGGGCAGGAGACGAGCCAGGCAGGGAAGAGTCTGTCTGACGTGCCCCAGTGCTGAATGAAGGCTGCCTCCTCTGCCCTGGCTTCAGGCTCAAGGAGTGGCCAGTGACCCCTGGCTGGGACATCGGGGTAGGCAGTACCTCCTATAGAAATCTAGGCATATAAATTGCCATTTAAATAATTTTTCAAAATGATAAACTCATTTACCAGGCCACCAAGATAAATCTGCTCCTAGATATTGCATCTTGGTGTGCCTGGGAGCAGTCACGTGCTGGGGAGTTGAAAGGTGAGTTGCATATTCTCGCTGCCCTGCTTCCTCCCTCCCTCCTCCCTCCCTTCCCCCTTCCCTCGATCAATATCGGCGATCTCAGGGAAATCATGAAATCGTATTGGCTTCTTTGTGTATAATTTCATTGGGCTAGATTAAAGCTGATTTTCCACGTTGTTTTTCTAACAGTGGTTTGAGGTTTTATATTTCAACCTAAATCCTATTTAAAAGAAAAATTAATGTGCTTGTTTAGTCAGCATCCTAATGTTTTCTGAATTAGGTTTGCATGTTTTCATCCTTTCTTTCTAAACAGGAAAAAATATTTAGTATCTACTTGAAGAAAAATGTAAGAATATCAGTACTAATAAGATTTTCAAATATGTTTTGAAATGTCTTTGCTTTTTTTTTTCTACAGTTCTTCAAGAAAATAAAAAGGAGGAGTCGCTTTTTAACTGCCCCTTGTTTAGCACACATGCTCTAACCTTCAGAAGTTCTGGTACTCAGAATTTTTTTCTTTTAATTTGAAGTTACACTCCTGTTCCCTCTGACCGTGTAGAAGTGTGATAGTGGGAGTGCTCCTTCACGACTATCAGAATCTCGACAGACAGTTTCACCAGCCATTATACCAGAAGCAGGATATTCGTTTCTTAGAATACCACATCGGCAGGTCCGATTTTCTTCACGATCAGACACTTAAGTGGGTCTAAAGAAGCCTGTGAATAAAAATGCAGCTTCGACAACAAATGTAAGCTGTTGTACTGTAAAAGAAAATAAATCTGAATTTGAGTTAGCAAGGGCAGGAAGAGGCTGGAAATTTTTACTGTCGGAGCTTTTCAGACGTATTTTAACGTTAATTTTTTTTTTAGGCTCCGAGAGGAGAGAGAGGAGAACGTTCAATTAAAACAGAGACTCTATAAATTATTCACAGAAAAAAAATAAACAGACCACAAGTAAACCCAATCTGGATATGGGGCCCAACCAGCTCTGTTTTCACTAAACAACAGTAACCTTAGCCCAAACCCCAGGAAGAGGGGGGCTGCTTATTTCCACCCAAATGTTCAAAATCCTGAAGGTTTTGTGTTGGGCAGAACACATTTGTGCTGCAACTAGGTTTATCAGAGCATTACAAAAAGACATAATGGTGGGTTGATTTGGACTATTTTATTTTTGTCCTTCCCCAAACCATCTGGCGTGTGAGTGTAGGGGTATTGATCAGGATCTGTGAGCTGCAGACCCCATGCCAATCCATAGCGTTTCTGGCAATCAGCGTCGCCTATGAATTGCAGCTGTCTGTGCAGCTCCTGAACACAGAAATCTTCAAAAAAAAAAAGTCCCCCCCTTATCAAACACATCATCCGTTCAGGGGTAAGTCAATATCATTTCTTTGTCATTCCGTGAGCCAGGATTATGCAGGAGAAAGTTTTTGTTGTCTGTCGTAGCTGCTGCTGTGCCCCCCCCCCACCTTTTTTTTAAAGGAAGGAGAGCAATTTTCTAGCTATTGAATGGTAATGGTTTTCCAGAAAGGCCTCAAGCGTTTGTATGAATCGGACAACAAATGGTGTTTCAATATTGTGGGGGAATTTTAAGACTAGGGAGAAATTCTTATGTTGCTATACACAAATAAAAATAGTGATAATAGAGGGTTCCTTTTAATGACGGAGAATTTTCTCCCCCATTCTCGGAGCCCCTGGTGATGAAGACACCGCAAGTCTGTGATTACACTTGCAGATGGACGGTGGGTGCTGGTGGCGGGAAAGGAGCCTTCCGAGCTGTGGCTCTGTTTGATATCTCCATTAGCTGCAGTTTTCTGCTGCCTGAAAGATCGTGCTGGTCGAACATAGGCAGAAGAAAACTAAATTTCAAGCCCA